AGTCAGCTGGGATAGACTCCAGCCCCCCATGACCCTAATGAGGATGTATAGATAATGGATGGATGGATATTTATCTCATTTGTGAGCACTTGTTTATTTCAGCTCAGTGTCTCAGTCCCTACTGCAGCTTTGAGACTCATTCTTATTCGTGTCTGTTTGTGTCTTTTCATATCCATTTCGCCCCAGTTTTTGTGAATCTAGTTCCACACATGGATCCATTCCACTCCAACATATCTTGGAAGCAGACATACACAAAGTCGAATCAAGATGAGAGGAGAGATGAAGAGACGGATGAAGTGAAGATAACCTTTCTGGTTGTACATGACAGTGAAAGGACAGGAGAGCTGTGGTCGACGTGCCTGGTTCTTTTAGTATGAGACACCCGTGCATCCAGTGGTTGTCCTAAGAGCTTCAGCAGAAAGCAACTGGACTTCTCTATTTGGCTCTTGATGACATTTCATCTTTCATCTAAAGTGCTTCTTAAGTTCCAACTCTGATGGGGATCCCAGTTACATGTTGTCCCTGCTGTCGCTGGTTTGTCTGAGAAACCTAGAATTATTCTCTCAAAATACAACACACAAGTGCACTTTAGACCCAGAAGCACTCTCAGACGGAAAAGTAGTTCATCCAAAGGATAAAACACCCAAACACAAGCCGAACAACACTGTGTATGCAGTCCAATGCAGCGAGGAGTTCACAGATCTATATATAGGGGAGACTAAACAACAGCAACTCAGACACATGGTACAGTACAGGAGAGTCAACAGTCCAGCTGCATCTGAAGGATACAGGACACTCCTTTCAGGGCAGCAATGTATCTGCTCTCTATGTCTTCAGATCCATCCTCAGAAAGTTTTACCACCATCTTGAGTCATCCCTTGCCAGGCAGCTTTGCCAATATTCACATCTCAGAGCATGTGTCCTGGCTCAGTAACTGGCCATTAGCTCTGGGAGTTGGGGGTGACATATACTTGTAACTCCCTAAATGTCAATTAGAACTGAAGAAGCCTCTTGAATGAGAGGTTAAGTGTCTTCAAGAGCCAAACAAAGAGAAATCCAGTCTCCTTCTGCTGAAGCTCCGAGGGTTAATGACCCGAGTGACTAAGACTATCCACGGTCACATCTAGTGGTTCTGAATGTGGCACTGAGAACCTTGACGTATTCTGTCATAAGTCAAAGTATTGAACAACATTTTTTACCTGATAGTGGTGCTAAAAGTTTACAGATCACTAAAGTTATTATAATTCCTCCTGAGGAAGATTTCAGTGTCTGGATCAAATTTCAGTTTGGTTGATTACTGTTTCACTCAGTGCCAAAAGTGTCAAACACAATATCAAAATCATTCGGATTAATTATCAGAGATTAATGGATGGTTGTGCAATATTCAATGGAAACCCTTCAAGTAGTTGTGCAGATTTTTTAGCTTTGGAGTCGTGGACTAACCAGTCAGTACTGCTGTCCGTAGAGCAATGCTGCTAGCTCGGCTAAAGTTATCCCTACACAACACATTTCTTTTTAAAAGGCTCCGTGATGCTATAGTTCAATCCATGCATCCACTCATCTCCCAAGCTAGTAACTACTTTATAAAAGTACATAAGGACCCCATCTGAAAAATGTAACTCAGTCCCGTAGTGTTCGCCAAGGACTTTACACATTATTTTGTTTTCATTTTTACAATTAAACTAACTCAGTAAAAAAAAAAAAAAAGAAAAAAAAAGTTTTTGTAATTTTTTGATATTACCAAATCTTAAAACAGGCATGTGCCAAATTATTTGGACTGCTTTCTCTCTGCTTCTCTCCGTCAGGTACATTTAAAATCAGAAGACAAATTACTTTTGACCGACGGAGCATTAGCAATGGTAATTGCTGCCACCGGTGTATCAAATGTTTGTGAAAGTGAAGGACAGCAACAGAGAGACAGATAAGAGGGGTGGAGGAGAGGCTCAAAGATGGATAACGCTGACAAACAGAGTGACCCCGAGATATAAGTAGGGAGCAAAAGCATGTGGGGATATGTGCATGCATTTGCACAAAGAATGGGCAGCATTGATGTTCAAGAACAGACCACAGACTGTAAGTCTCCTGTGGGGAGTTTTCACACTTGTGAGGTAATTTATTCATGGACTTAAAGTAATCCTTATAGTGCACTCAAGAGGTTTGCTAAAGTCACTTACTGCTCGAGCCGACCCCGGTTGGTCTCTCTGGCTCATAAAGCTTGCTTATGTATCCCAGTATGGTCAGTATTTATGACGGTTTTAAACGCCATAATTCTGTGATGAATCCAGAAATCACAAAGATTCTCTAATCAGACACATTTAGAGGATTATCTCGCTGTAAGGGGAGTATCTTCAATCCGTTAGTTCCCATCAGAGACCTAAAACAATCTGTTTGACTGAATTTATTTTCATTGGACACGTCGAAACATAAATTCCGAAGTCTGCATTTTCGCTAAGGATTACAGTGTTAATGAGTTTCGGTAAGCTGAATCTTTTGAACTTGTTGGATGATTCTGCCCTCGTTTTAATCAGACTGCTTCAGGTTAAATACTCTAAGAAGCTGCTTTGATGCGCTCAACAACATGAAGACAGACTAAGAGCAAACCATTTCTCACTCATCTTAAGTCTACCATCTGTGTTTGTTCAGTAAAAAAACCTTTGTATGCACAAAGCTGTGAGTAGAATGCAAATGAAACTATTCTTTAAAGAAGACAGCGTTTGTCTGAGTCTGAGTTAGCACGTTACTTCAAAAACTTGTGTAGAGTCCTGACAGCACAAGAGACCAATCACAACAAGCAGACATTTAACTTCTTTAAGTAAGTACTAATTGACCTTATGAAGTTAAATGGCAAAGCTGTTGGCAAACAGCTGCCTCGTTACAAGTTCTGCAGACAGACAGTTAAGTCATATTTCTGTCCACCTGGTGAGTTTAATTCCAACTTTAGTCTTCTTGTAGCTCTGTTTTTGGTCTCCACCAACAATTTTAAGCGCCAAAAGCTCCACTATGTTTACCAATTAGTCACTAAATATGTCTGCCTGTGGTTTGGTGCTGGTGTTTTCACTAAGAACAGCTGTTTGCTACAAGCTGGACAAGAAATGAGAGTCGACCAATAGTAGTATAGACTCAAAACAATGAGCTGGAAGGTATTCTCGTAGTTTCATCGTAGCAACTGGACTTGCTCGAGTTCCTTGAAGACGTTCCACCTCTCATCCAAGAGGCTTCATCAGTTCTGACTGACTAGTTGGGAGATCCAGATACTTATATTGTTTAGGAGCCATTAACACTTGAAGTGGGAGGTGAAACGTCTTCAAGAAAGTTGCTACGATTAAACTACAAGAATAACCATGACCTGGATGACTGAGAATCTTAATAGACACGAGATGGAAGGTACTAAAATGGTTGGAAGTCAAATGAACAAACAATTCTCTGTTCCTTTATCACAGCTCACCCCCCTCACTCCCAACCTCACCCCAACCGGTCAGGGCTGATGGCCGCCCTCTCTGAGCCTGGTTCCATCTGATGTTTTTGCATTTTGTCTTTCCCGGCAAAGGAAAAGTTTTTTGGTTCCTTCCCACTGTCATCAAGTGCTCAAAGTAAATCCACAGGGAGCTTTAGATTGTTGGGTTCTCTGATTAAAAGTTGTAAGGTCTTTATCTCACTATGCACACTGGTACGAGATGACACATGTCATTCACTGGTGCTATATATAAAAAAAAAATTTGAACTACAAGCATTCCTCTTGTGTATCTGCACCAATGTTTATTTAGGAATGAATGCAGCTTTAAGTGTGAATAAGCTTATATGAGCAGCAGGTGACAGAGTTAGTTTAGATCATTAGTAAATAATCTGCTGTTGCACATAAACCAGATTACTAGCTGACAGTTACTGGCATTTGAAGGCGAGCTGTATTAAGATGCTGCATGTACAGGACATTATGTGTAATTCTGTGGAGTTAGAATACAATCACCCCATTAATTTCAAAGCTGATATGCAGTAATGGGAACTGACACTGTTCAGCAGAGTTTAGGTTGGCAGAAAATGGAAAAAAAAAAGTCCTTCAATTTCATTTCGAATGCACTACGCCTTAAATTATTTGCCAGAGCCACATTGCTGTGTGCATGAAAAAAAAAGTAGCCGCCGAGACCATCGCAAGCCTGGAAACAATACAGCATAATGATGAGACGCCCTGTCAGACAAGGTCCTGGCTTTCAGGGCTTTTAACGAGTCCAGAGGTTGAGAACAGTGAATTTGTATCTCACCTTTCTCATACTCGAGCACGCTGTCTTTGAGCAGGCAGCTGAGCTGGTGGCCATTGAGATGCAGAAAGCGCAGCTGGTCTCTGAGTGAGGTTTCCTCCAAGACACCCTGGATGAGGCGGCCCACGCTGTTCTGAGATATGGGCAGGCCGAGTCCCAGGGCCAGGGTCGGAGTCAGGTCAACCTGCTCCACCACTCCAGGCTGCTCCATTCCCACTGACATGACAGGGCAAAAAAAAACACACAAGAAAAACAGTAAAAACGACTGAACCTGCAATACTCAATGAAATAAGTGCATCTCTCTCCATTGTTATGTTGCAGCAGCATCTTCTTCTTGCTGTGTCGTTTTCTAACCTTGATTTGTCAATCAGTGCGTCTCGCTCTGTGATTTCTTTTCCACTGATACATTTCCGGAAATCTTTCAACCCGAATGTCTATCAGGTTATTCCAAAAATACTTGAAAGTTAAAATGCACCACCTCCTGTATGCTGCCAGATTTGCCCTTAAAAACCTGCAGTGTCAGACACAGAAAATGGAAAAGCTTTCAAGAAGTAGCCAAATGTTGAATCACAATTGCGTTACATCAATCAGTGATAGCGGGTAGCAAAATGGATATTTATTTATAAGAACAAAAGTCACATCTTATTACTTCAGTCGCAATTCACAGACAAAAACAATTTTCATGATGGACACAAGGAAATGGCTCAATTTTCGTACTGTCTGTTGTGGAGGTTTTCTCTGTTCGCACAATAAGAGCTTGTCTCAAAGAATTTCACACACTCATCAAGACAAATTCGGAAAAGGAGGCTCTTCTCATAAAGTCGTAAACCTGACACAAACACTAACAGTAAAGAATCCCACAGCTTTCTATCATTATGAAGTCGGTGATTAAGAAGAGTTCTATTTCACGGGCACACATCATTCTAATCACAGAAGCTGCAGCATCTCATTGCTACTAGTTTCTCTTTTCCCCCTGAGGACAGTCAAACTGTGGTCACGGGAAAATGGTGAGAGTGTGGAAGAAGGATTACGACATTTTCCCACCCATTTATCCACAACTGAGTCTCATTTTATGCATTAAGGCAGAGCACATTAGTGACTCCTCTTTGTGGATTTGAATCAGGACATTAGTTATCTGGGAGCCTGAAACCCAACACAAAAGCCTCACAAATAACCCTCATGATTTTCCATGTATTAACCACCCAAGTGTGTGACCACGGGGAGGTTTGTCACAACACGTAAACTAACCGACACCACAAAAGAACAAATGGATGAAATCATTATCACTTCTCAGAGCTGTGTCAAACATTTCTATGTTGACTCTTGGCTTCCAGTAAAGCTCTTCCAAGGTGAGTGGGTGTCATTTTCTCAGACTGTCTGCGTTTGAGTGAAGTTTTCAGGTTGCAATAATGAACTATACTGGCACATAACATATCCAAAAATGAACAATAGAGCTCACATGTGTGGGGAAGTGAGGCAGCGGCAGACTAAAGTCTGGGACAAACCCCAGAGCTATGAGCTAATTTGGTAATTGGACACAATGAAAAGAGCCAGGGAATTATCCATTTTATATTAAAAGGAGACGGATTTGCAACAAGACAAGGACTTTGCTGTATTAAGCCCATAGCTATTGGGATAATGTTATAAATCTAAGTATATCAGGCTTGTTTAAATCTGTTACTTAGCAATGAATGTCTAAAAATGTTTAAGTTATGGCTTTAGTTGCTGCAATTACACTAATGAGAAAAGTTGATAGAGCCTCAAATTGGAATATATCAAACAGCCCGAAGAAAATCAATCTGTTTAATCAAAATGCCAACCCCACATTAACTGTGTATAGAATAACACATTACAATGGAACCAAGTTGTGCTTTGTGCTGAGACGAGAAGCTGTGAGGTAGCTACGCTCACGTCACATCACCACCGGCCCACTTTGTTCCTACTGTACAGTTTGGCTTCCACAGAACTGAGCGACTCACATTCTGGCAGAACAGATGCGTCACAACCCGATTAAAGGTTGTACACGCTGAATGCTGATTCACAGATGAGAAAACTGCATGCGGCTGATGACGATGCCATATGCATTACAGAAACTCACGCGCTAATTATTCCAAAATGTCACTGAAATGTCATCATGACAGACATTTTTTTAATTCTTTGTAGGACAATGGAGAGTCGTGCATTTGCTCAGCTTGGGGATGACTTTGGAAAAAAGCTGCCACGACGAGGTTCTCTCGACAGATTACGGCACAGTGTTGTTGTGGTTGGGATTAAATACGATAATACCACATTTACAGTGTATGAAATGTGTACAGGGTCTCAGTTTGTTACTGTCTCTCATGTCTGCAGACAGAAACTTTCATAAATGTATTATAAATTCTTGCTTGAGTTACTGTCAAGCGATCGTAGGGGGGATCCGTGGAACAACATGCCACTTGGACACAAGCTGGGAACTGATCACCCCCGGCTGGGTCGCCCCGGTGAGGGTGAATGAAGATTAAAGACCCGAAACACTCCATGACTCCAGGTACTTCACTGATGACGTGTCCAAGTAGCACCAGAAGGTGTATTAAAACTCTCACACTTCCTTTTCCTGGGTTTTGGCAGGTGTGCTGGACCCATAACCCAGAGTTTGAAGGATTAAAAAGTATCTTCTGCTAAATGTAAATGTTGTAAACACACCTGGTTCAATATAATTTCCACAGCACCCACCCTGCTCCTCATCATGGCTGACCCTTTGCTCTCCATCATCTGATATATGTGAAAGAAGAATTTCACTGTGCTGTAATGTATTTATGACCAATAAAGGCTTCTGTTTTTTTCCTTTGCTGTGAACTTTGATGCTCTTAAGTTACCACCTGATGCATGTGCTTTGTTGTTGGCTTTTCTTGGGTTTGACTGCAATAAAGAGCCCATTTACGGGTTTATAGTGTTATTTTGGGGGTCTACTAGAAAGTTTTACATCCCTTAATGTTCAAAAAACACATTACTTTTTTCGTGTTGCACAACACTTCAGCAACTCTTCTCGCTCGTGTCTCTGCAAGGACGCTATTGCGAAAAGCCCAGTTCGCTCTGATTGGTCAGCCGGCCCGACAAAACAGAGGTGATGTACTCTAACCCCAGACCTCAGAGAATATGGGTGTAGCCCCAGCAGAAGCAGCTCTAGCGAGGAAACAATAGCAAACTGCGAGGAAACTGCTCTTTTCTTTGTTTTAGGCCAAACTAGCTGCTGGGCAGGTGTTGTCCAAATGTTTTGCATCGTGACGCAGGTAAGTTGGAGGAAGAAAAGCCTGGACTTCAAACAAAGGGTTTCAGGCAGCACAGAAGCAGCGTTTTCTGTGAATAACTTCCTTTGCTGTGGGTTTTTGTAAGATTGCAGAACTTCTACATGAACATAAAAGCAGCTTAGTAACACAAAAGAAGAAAAGAGGGGAAAAGCCCCAAAAGCATGAACTGATTGAAGAACCCCACCAGATATACTCAATACTCACTCACTGGCCACTTTATTAGGTACACCTGTAAAATCTAATGCAGTCTAATACAATAGCTCCTCATAAAATCTACTTTTACAAAGCTTCTGTATTTTTTAATTTTGTTGATGTGTACTTTACTTTTGTTATTTGGATCATAGCGGCTGGTGGTGGTGAACCGGACTGCATTACAATGAACAGCATCCCTAACATTTCTCCCTATCATTCTTGTAACCTTTATTTAACCAGGAAAAGGCTCATTAAGATTAAAAAGAGTTGAGATTGTTCTGGCCAAGACAGGCACAAATGACAGACAGACGAGGTCACAGCAGCGTCCACACAAACATCATATTCATAATACGTGGTGAAGTTAAATTTAGAAGACAAGAAATCAACATAATGTGTGTTAATGTGGTAGGAAACACATTAGCAGCCTTTTTAAACGTAGTGCACACCATCACCACCACCACTCGTTTTAATCTGAATAATAAACATAAAGAGGAATTTTGCCTTTTTGAGGAACACTAAAAACACAGAAGCTTTACTGTAAGGCGCAACCATTGTAGTGGATTACACAAGAGTTTACACATGTGTAATAAACTGGCTGATGAGTGTGTATAAATACTCATCTTAAAGTATTACAGTGTACTGATATTGACACAACACTGACACCTCTTCCCTTACTGAGAACTCTACAATGAGTGACTATGAAAATATTTTCCGTTTCAAAACTGTCTTTGTCTCCTGCTTCACTTTCAGCCCATATTCTATAAACCAGTGCAATGCAGCTAGAAGTTTCCACCTCACACTTATGTAAGTTGCACATCGCAGCAGGATTGGCTGCTGAACCAGCGGTGATGTCACAAGTCCTTAAAGTCATATTTAAGGTGAGCACACATGACATTTCCACTTTCCGCAGAAGAATTTAAAAACAGTCTTCTGGTGACGAACTCTGAGCATTCATCTCGTTGCACTGTGAAGGTCAAAAATCTGAGCGGAGAAAAATGACCAAAATACACTTTTGAGTGCAAAGCGAGAAAAGGCACAGATGGTTACTGATGCAGGAAATAACGTTATGGATTCTTATGCCCACACTGCCTGATTAAAGCTGCATTGCCTCTCAGAGTCCTCTCAGGAATGTCAATTAAATGTTCTGCCAATCTGCAGTAAGAAGGGTTGTTTTCTCAATGATGCATTCAGATTAAAAAGTGAGGCCCAGGTACTGAGCCAGCAGTGAATTCTGATCTGGTGCATCATGTTCTAATGAAAAAAACAACAGGCAGATGAGCTCTCTGCTAATGACTCGCAATTCTCACTGCGTTAAAAACAACCAGTTATGCTAATGAGGCCACTGATTGCACTAACTGATGCATTAAATAGAACACATTACCATGTTAACATATGTCTATATCTAGGATGGTATTGAAGAAAGAAAGTCTGCATCTCATAGAATTAAGGTATTAACAGCAGATTCAATAGTTTTCCGTACTAATGAGCTAACTGGGTGATTCAGAATTGATCATTATTCTGTCGTTTACAGTCGTGACTTGATAATCCGACACTAAATGTAAAATCTGCTTTTATGTCGGATTGTCAAGACGGAGGTTGAGATACAAGGAGGGCTTGATGCTTGAAGGCTCATTTGTTGTTTATATTTATTGTTTATAGTTGTTATAATAACTAGGGTGTTGTTAGGACACTACGCAGGATTTCACGCCTAATTGAACGGTGTGCTTGTGCACATTCCAGCCACTTCCACCCCAGGGGGGCGCTCCAAAGGGGGGGAGTGAAATGTGAACGAACTCGCAAAAACATCAGATTTCACAAAAACAATCCGAATTCAGCCTGAAGTCCTGCAGTCTGAACGCAGCCAATCTGTCGGATTGTTCAGTCAGATAATACGCTGTTATCCTTATTGAGGACCAAAGGTGGCCGGGCCTTTTCTGTAAGAGCCCCCATCCTCTGGACCAGCCTCCCTGAGGAGATCAGATCTGCAAGCACTTCATCCTCCTTTAAAACTCTTTTAAAAACACATTTTTACAGACGTGCTTTTACAGGAGTTGTTTTATGAGCGGACTTTTACTCCGTTTGATGGCAGTATTAAGGGCAGGACATTTTATCTCCTAACTGTTTTATTCCTTTATTGTCTTTTAATTGTCTTCTTTTACTGGGTTTTATTTTTCTTATATATTTTCATATTGTTTTTTGTCTTTCATGCTTTATGTGCTTCACCTTCACCATTTTTTATTTATTTATTTATGTATTTTTTGCTTTTTACTTCTTTTAATATTGTTCTTACACTTCTCTTTGAATCTGTGCAGCACTTTGTAAGCCTGTTTTGAAAAGTGCTATATAAATAAAGTTTATGATGATGATTATTATTATTATTATTTGTGACATAAAATGTCGGAGTCAGAATCCAAGGCTGTCGGTATGTTTTTATTGGGTTTTTTTTAAGTTAATTTTTTGGCCTTTTTGCCTTTGTTATATAGGACAGTGAAGAGAGAGACAGGAAAGTAGGGGAGAAGAATGGGGGAATGGGTTGCAACAAAGGGCCATGAGCGGGATTCGAACCCACGGCCGCTGCATCGGGGACTATAGCCCTTGTCTATGGGTCGCCAGCTCAACCAGGTGAGCCATAGCGGCAGCCCAGTCTGTCAGTATGTTAAGGCTGTTTTCTATGGGTTCCATTCGTTTTTCCTAAAAACCTGTCGGATAGCAAGGTTGTCGGATCGTTAAGGGTCAGATTATCGAGTCACGACTGTATTTCTATTTTATTTATGACTCTTAAGTGAAGGTGTTGCACAAAAGCGAGTCCTCACTGCCAGACCAGCACAGAATAACACAGCGTTGGATTTTAATTTCCCAAAAACTTGTTTTCTGAATCATCTTCTAACACAAACACACAACTGTTTGCCAGTTAAAGTGGTTCTTGTTATTTCACATGAAATATTAAGGTGTTTTCCTGTTTCTTTTTGCTCTATATCCAAGACTCACTGTGCATGTTTTCATCCCGGGAGGTCTGTCTAAGCCAAACGCAACTAGTCGACTCTTTTTTTTTCCTTTTCTCAATGATGCTGAACACCACAATATGACTGGTTCAGCAACTAGAGGCATCAACTCGTTTGCAGATATTAACAAATGCAGGCCACAAAGTAGAAACTCATTAAATACACCTGTGATCATTGACATGCAAATCTGTGACATTAAACTGAGAACATGTGTGATTTTCCAATTAGCCTAATAGCATGAATGAAAAGCATCTTTGAACACCAGAACTTTGTCAGTTTTGGACCTACGGGCTGTGTCTCAGTGCAAGTCTGCATCATGGCTCCACATGTAAAGATGGATAAGGACAGAGGAAGACAGGCGGCCAAACAAATCAGCAGAAACACAGCCCTTATTGGGAGGTATAGAACGAAGAGAGCACCATAATACCACTAACCAGAGCGGTCGTCCTCCTAAAATAACTCCACAGACAGTGCATTACTTACACTTGCTGTGAAAAATAGACAGACGAGCGCTTCAGACTTGGCACAAGGGTTATCAATGGAAATCAGGGTTTCCGTGACAGCTCAGACAGTATAAAGGACGTTGCATAACGTCAGGCTCTATGAATAATGTCCTCACAGAGCTGCAAGGTGAAATGTGCTAAAGGAAATGGAAAAGAGGTCATAAATACTGGCAGCACATTCTTTTGACAAATGAGACTAAAATAAATTTGTCTGGCTCAAGCGGGGTCCCTCGAACCTGGTCAGGACGACCACAGTGATGCATAATCCTGACAGTGAAGCACAGAGGGGAGGATTTGATGATGTGGGCTAAAAAAAAACTGGCTGATATGAGTCCTAGTCCGCATACGCTCAGCAAAGGTGAATATTTCTGTGTGGTCACGATTTTATTAATACTGCCAAGTCACAGAAGAGTCTCTAAAGCTAATAGAAGTGAAAACTTTGACCTGGCCATGGAAGCCCCCTGACTTTAATCTAACAGAACAACAGTGGGATATTTCAAAGAGAAAGGCAGAGCAACACTGAGAAAAGAGCCGCTAAAAAAACGGTCTCTGAGGAACAGCAGAAGATCCTTCCAGAAATCTGTGCAACGCTGGTGTCCTCCACACTAAATGG